GCGTTCAAACAAGATTCAACGCGATTCAACAACGTTAAACGCGATTGAAGGAGTGCGTTTGGCGGTGGTTCCTCGGTGTGAGGCGGTGTGCGATGGTGTTCGGGCAGATCTGTGAGGGGGGTGGGGAGCCGGAGAGAGGGGGGGGGGGGGGGGGGGGGGGGGTTTTGGGCTGTCTCTTATACACATCTAGATGTGCCCCCCTCCTCTCCTTAGGCACCCTCCGCAGCATCTTCATCTGTCATCAGTTTGATTCATCCTTCCTCTTTATGTATCATAATTTTGATTTCGGGGTGCTTTCGCACTTTTTTTTTCTTTTTTTTTTGCTTTCGCACTTCCGTTGTGGTGGTCGTCGCTTTTTCTTTTTTTTACAATACCATATTTCTCGTCGTTCGATTAGAACTCTGGTCCACGTTTTATTATATGTTTATTTATTTATGTATTTGCTTCAACCACCAGTGCCTGTTGAAGAATCAAATTACGACTCTCTGAACATCACAACGTATAATGAAAGGTTTTGTGGGCGTTCTCTGTCTGGCGTTTGAGTAATGGAGTGTCAACTCACTCTTTGATGTGGGCCCACACCAGGGGGCCTGAGCAGCCAGTGGATTCATCTATCTCTCTCTCTCTCACACACACACATCTGATCCGTTTTGATGTAATCTATGTCGATGGTGAAAATGTGATTTACGATCAGGTGGAGCAGCAGGAAATTTGAACTGACAGTGCTTGTGACGCTCGGACTTCGAGAAGCAGATTGGAATTCTGGATCTCATGCTGTGTTGGGCTTGTCCACGGCTCGGGGCGATGCGTCACCATTGATTGATTGATTGATTGGCGGCATGATCCGGGAGGGAGAGGTGGAAGGATCTGTATGTTTTCATCCCCTATGGAAGGAGCTACCATCTATGGAAGGAGCTGTCAGATGTGATGCCTAGATGGGTAATGAAAGGGGTTATAGTCTGTGGCACACGAGGAGCGAAGTGCGGAATACCTGCATATGATTACTGAAGGCCGAACGTAATGAGTTTCTGGCAGAGGACGAAGCTGCAGCTGGCCGCAGCATGAGGTGTATCCTGGGAGAGGAGGGAGATGGCACTCTGCTTGAGGTGGTTGTCAGTAGAGGTTGTGCGAATGTGACGTGCCGAGGAGGAGGAGGAGGAGGAGGAGGAGGAGAAGGAAGCAGAGTTTGATGCTCACCATTACTGTTGTTTTCTTCAACTGACGTGGAAGATTGAGTAGGATGGAGGCCCCATTATCGTCCGATAATGAGGATCCAGTTATTGATAGCGGTTTTCGGGAAGGAGATGATGGGGAAGAGGGGCCCGGGGGAGGGGCCCGGATGAAACTCAGCAATGGCATGTGGTCACATGAGGTGGAGAAGTTGCCGGCAGGAGAATTGGGAGAGGGGAGGGATTGGGAGGCAGGAGAATTGGGAGAGCAGAGGCATTGGGAGGCAGGAGAATTGGGAGAGCAGAGGGATTGGGAGGCAGGAGAATTGGGAGAGCCGAGGGATTGGGAGGCAGGAGAATTGGGAGAAGGGAGGGATTGGGAGGGACGTGAGGGGTTTGCGGATGAACCGCATGTTGCTGAGCTGTATAGACCTATGCCGCTGAATCCTCATCAGCATAGGAACCTTAATACAAGCTCCCGTTGGCCATGGCTCCCTCCCTACACCTCCGCTCCCTACACCTCCTCTGCATCATCTTCTGCGTCGTCATCTGAGGGGGAGGGGATCGAGTTTTCAACAGGGGCACCTCTTCTTCCCGTCAGTACCGGTTACGGCGGTACAGGTAATGACTTCCATCCTCGTTCAGAGTACACGGGCGGGGAGTGGAAGCCGGCGCTCGCTGTGGAGGGACCTGTGGCAGCAACAACCGTGTTGCCGAACCCGGGGGTGGCCACGAATAAAACGAACAGGAGGGGGAAGACGAACAGGAAGACGAAGACGAAGATGAAGATGAAGACGACGAAGAAGAAGAAAAAGTGGATACACGGAGTTGTGAGTTGCTTCCTGTCTATTTTTTGGGTTCCGATCATAGAATTTGTAGTGTGGTGGTTTGAGCTTGTCAGCGCCTTTGGGGTGTCGCTCGTTCTCTGCATTGTCATTGTCTATGGTGTGTCTCAGGGTTTCTGCGAAAGTTTGCTTGATTTGGCGACTACCTTCTTTTGGAAAGATGTAAAATTGGTAAGTGGAGCTCGAGCGCAGTCGTTTCAGGCCTATTCTGCCATTCCCTGGGACTTAAAGCCTATCTACGGTCTTGTTATCGACAGCTTTCCTTTGTTCGGATACCATAGACGATCGTATCTCTTCATGTCGGCTATTTTGGGCATTGCCGCCTGCGTGTTCTTGGCTGCCGTCGTCTTCTCCTCCAATGCCGTTGAGGTGCTGATCATGGCGGTCTTGAACTTCTCGATTGCGTTGCCGGATGTCGTGACCGACGCTGTTGTTTCTCAGCAGACGCATGTCTGCCCCGACAAGGGGGCGGACCTGCAGAGCTTGTCGTGGGGAGCGTTCGCTGTGGGAGGGTTGTTTGGTTCAGGCGTCAGCGGTCCCGCTGTGGAGTCCATAAAACCTCGCGGGGCATTCGGGCTTCTCACTTGCGCGCCTGTTATGCTGTTCGTAGCCGCTGCACTCTTGCCCGATTCCCGTGTCCCTGCCGCTGAGCGGAACTTGAGGGTTGACTTCCTCTTCTCCGCCGTCAGGAAGCTTTGTACCACTCTAGCGCGCCCCATGGTCTGGCGAAGCGCTCTCTACATGTTCATTGCTGAAGCGGCTGCTCCTACCATATCCGATACGTTGGTCTACTGGTCCACGTCGGCGCAGGACGGGCCCAAGTTCAGTGAGAAGTTCATAGGGATCAGTAACATGATCGGGCTGCTCGGACTTCTTGTTGGCATCACCATATATAACCGTTTCCTGAAACGAGTTCCTTACCGAAAGATCTTCCTTGCTGCCCAGATCTTGTTAATCGCGGCCGGGATGCTGGACTTCGTCCTCGTCACTCGTCTAAATCTTCGATTCAGCGTTCCCGACGACGCCTTTCTTCTCGGCGATGCTGCGGTGAGCGAAGCTGTTCGGCGTCTGCGCGTAATGCCGCTCCTGGTTCTCGCAGCAAAGCTTTGCCCGCCGGGCATAGAAGGCACGCTTTTTGCGTTTCTGATGTCTACACAAAACTTTGGCAACCAGGTCTCCTTTTGGCTCGGTTCATCCATTCTTCGGTTTTTCCATGTCGACTCGAAATACGACGACTATCGAAATCTGGCGCTTGTGGTGCTTATTCGCAACGCAATGAGGGGATTGCCGATTCTAGCACTATGGCTTGTGCCGAATGTCAGCCCAGAGCTTGATCTGGAAGAAATGGAGATGGCGGCAGAGCAACAGCTCTCGCCCCGACAGTTTCGTGGAGGAGGGGTAGGAGGGGTAGGAGGGTTGGAATGCGCAAACATGACGGTGCTCTCAGGGAAAAGGGAGGAGGAGGAGGAGGATGGCACAGCCGGTGCAGTGACGGCAGAGGAGGAGGAGGAAGAGGAACTGGACCCCGGAAAGGAAGAGCTGCTCCCACTTGCCCCGTTGTCTATGCCCCGCTCCGATGACCCCATGTTCCTCGATCTCGAGAAAAAGAGCGATGAACGGTCCGACGGTCGGAGGAGAGGTGGTAGGGTCGTGTTCGAGGACGGTATGCCTGTTGTCTCGATCGACTGAAAAAACAGCAGCGCGCTGTCACGTTTCCGATTGAGCCTTGAACGGCCATGGTAAGTTCATCTTTCCATTGTTTTTCTCACCATCCCTCGTTGCTGGGGTGTGGATGGGACCCCCATTATAGCCCATTATGCCGATGGATTGTTTTCTTAGGGGTCTGTTCCAACTTCCAATTTGAGTGCGAGGCAGGGTATGCTTATAAGTGACTGAACAAAACACCATGTTGTCACATTTCCAATTGAGGCTTGACCTGCCACTGTAAGTTCACCTTTCCATTGTTTTTTATCCCCGTTCCGTGTCGTTGATGCATGAATTGGGGGGGAGAGGGGGGGAAGAGGGAGGGAAGGGAGGGGGGGGGGTGGTCCCATGCCCATTGATTTTTTTCGTTATGGGTTTTGTGCTTGAACTTTGTTCTGAGTTCTAACTCGAGTCAGCAGCAGTGTGATGCACATTGTCTCGATTCACTGAGGGCATACTCACACCAGGACCTTTTTCGACTGAGCTCTGGACGTGGTCACAGTCAGATGCATCCGGGTCTGGACATGAATGTTTCCATCAGGTATGTTTAGCAACATGCTAGTGAGCGTACGCCCTGAAAAACGGCATGCTGGTGATTCCGTTCAAGGCCTTAACTGCACTGGAATTCATTTCTCGATTGCCTTGTATATCGTTGCCTTGTCCCTTGTGCGTGTTCGATGGGCATGGGCGGGCCTCCATGCCCATTGATTCTTTGGTATAGGATTGCTCTAATTTCTAACGCCTAACTCAAGTCAGCACCCCTGACTTTGGATGGGTGGGTGGGTGGGTGGGTGGGTGGGTCCTCTTTACCCTTCTTTTGTTCTAAGTCCTAACTCAAGTCAGCACACCCCCCTTTTTTGGATGGGTGGGTGGGTGGGTGGGTG